GCGGGACGCGCTTACAGCAGCTTCCAGTGCTGAAAGGGGGCTGCAGGAAAGGTGGGGAGGGACTCTTGATCAGGGAGGGTGGAGATGGGATGAGGGGTAACGGTTTCAAACTGAAAGAGGGAGATTTAGATGAGATATTGGGAAGAAATTCTTCCCTGTGAGGGCGGTGATGCCCTGGCACAGGCTGCCCAGGGAAGCTGTGGCTGCCCCCTCCCTGGCAGTGCTCAAGGCCAGGCTGGATGGGACTGGGAGCGACCTGGTCTGGTGGGAGGTGTCCCTGCCCATGGCAGAGGGGTTGGAACCGGATGATCTCTAAGGTCCCTTCCAATCCAGACCATCCCATGATTCTATGAAACCTGGGGAGGCTCAATGGCATTGCAGCAGAAGGTGGATGGAAATGAGGGGTTCAGGTGCTCCTTGGAGATGCTGAGGTGGGAGCGGGACCCCCTGCCCTGGGAGGGGGCAGCCCCGGGCTCTCCCCTTCCTAAGGCCCTACAAAAATCCTCAGTAGGTACAAAATGTCCGAGCAGCCCTGGGGAGCACGGGAGCTGCCCGTGCAGGCAGGGTTAGTGCTCGGACGTGGGATGGCAGCACAGACCGGCAGAGCCGCCGACCGGCTTTTCCACGGCCAGCTCGGCTGCTGCTCAGTCACCCGTGGCCCTGCAGCCATGTCCCTGGGGGGCTGAGCACAAAAAAAAGTGTGGGATGAAGTTTGGTGTGCTGCAACGCCCTGGCGTGATCCATACAGCGCCAAAACGCCCTCCCCTTTTGCCGCAAAAAGCTTTGCAAATACAGCTTTTGCCACCGACAGCCGGCGGCTCCTGCTGGCCACCAGCTTGCAGGAACATGGGACAAGGTCCAGGAGGGTTGAGGTTCCTGCAGCCCAACGAAAAGTGTGTCAGCAGCCCAGCCCCGCATTATTGCTTATTTTCCTCACTACTCAGTCCGTGTCTTTGGCTCCCTAATCCTCCTACGCCCTCGTTCACCACAGGCTGACACGCAAAGAGAAACTTATTTATTTCTGCAGAAATGTGCCCTTGTCCTGGTGTTTAATCAATACCCAAGACCAGACGCTGCTTTTGCTGTACAGGACATTCCCTGTCTAAATTATGCAGTTAAAACACTGCAGGCATGTGACGTGGGGGGAGCTGCCAAGCCGAAACCGTGGTGGAAGCTTACGGATGAGGTTTAGTTTGCTGGGGGCGGGGGTGTAACTCCCTGTCCTGCAATAAAAATTGTTACGGGAAGCATGTTGGTATGAAAATGCAAGCTTAAAGGCTAATGAGGGGATACACAAAGAAAAAGGCATGAATGTCCTAATGGGAAGGATGCTCCAGGCTCAGGGTCTAAGATCAGCAGGGACCCCCCCTGAAACAAGAGGATGCTCCTATAGACGGGAGCATTTTTGCGGTGTTTGGGAAGGAAGCACTGACATGGCACCATTTCCCTTCACATGGACTGTGAAAAGAACTTCCCCTGAGGGCCCAGAAGCAGTCCCCTCTGCACTGGGTCTCCATGTCCACGCAGCGAAAAAGGTGATGGGTGAACCACCACCTTCCCCGCCTGACACAAAGCCCCTCAGAAGCAAGCTAGGTAAGGCACCAGCGCTGCTCTATACAGGGCTGAGACGTTACGTACAGGGTCAAAATCCCTTCAGTGATGCCTCCAGTTCAATCAACCCAGTAATCCGACCAGTGTCAAAGAAACCCAGCTCGGGCGGTGACAGCCGGTGCCGCGAGTGTGGCTACAAGTGCGCGGGAGCGTGCCGTGCCGGCACGGGCGACGCGCCTGCGGGGAAGCTCACCAGCACGGCTCCTTTCCCGCAGCCTCCTCGCATCTCACCGGGCTGCGGACAAGCGAAAAAGCAAACGTCTGCTGCCTACCTGGCTGCTGAAACATCAGCATGGTCTGCGGGGAGGTGTGGACCGGCAGCGAGCGCGTCCTCTGCACCGAGCTGTGGCTCCGGCTGGGCATGCTGTTGCTGCCGCCGGGGTTGGCAAACCAGAGGTTCTGCGGGAAGCCAACAAAAAAAGGGGTGTGGGATGTGAAACAGAGGCCTCTGTGCCATTTATTGATAAACCCCTTAGGCTCTTGTCTTCCCGCTCCACCTCCCGGTTTGCTGCCCTTCCCACCGGTCCCCCTTCTGCATCCCGCCGCACGGAGGAGAGCGCAACGCAAACGCCGGCAAACTGCTCTGGCTGGCTTGAAAAGCGGGGGAAAAAAAAGGGTGATCCGGGTAAGTTAGAGGAGGAAAAGCAAAAGAAGCTTATGGGGAAGGGATGGAAAAGCTGGAGATGCTGTGAAGGCCGACCAACCTGTCTGCCTTGCTTGAGGATGGCGGGGCTGGCGGCGGGGCTGCGCTGGGGGGTGCCCAGCAGCCCACTGGGGCCCAGCAGCCCCAGCCGGGCGGTGGGGAGGTTGCGGGAGGGGATCTGGAACTGGCGGGGGTTTCGCCGGCCCAGTCCTGCCCCTGCAGATCCGGCTGTCGGTAAGGAGTTCGACTGGCCAAAGCCTCGGCTGCGGAGAGAGAAAGCGCCGAGGGTGAGAAATCGGCCGCTGCCAGGGGCCAGGGCTGCAGGCGCG